CTCGTTCATTATTCCATTTGGCTAGCACAAGGGTCTGGACTTCAAAAGTTGTAAAATACAACCACAGGCAAATTCCAAAGATTCAGGCAGATTCACACCACTTCAAGAAATGAAGCACTTGAAAAAAACAGGCTTGTATCAGGAACATTTGCACATGAACCTATCTGTAGACATTATAGCAGCTTTGCATAGCTTATGGCTTTTAAATCCTTCCACCAATTTTTTTACAATTGTAAATACATTCAGACACAGAAAGAACATGATGTTTCACTGTACAGTTAGGACTATGATTGCCAATGGTTTCCATACTCCTTAAAATTAGCTTTATGTTGTCTCTGTTCCCGTAGAGGCAATTTTTCCACCTTAAGACATGGAGAAAGGGAGGAAGCTAGGATTTTTCTTCTTCTTAAGTTCAGCTTTAGCAGCTGTAGTCAGTGCAGTGGTGTCCCAGAGGGATGTCCCTTAGCTGTAAGTTAAAGTACCATGGATATCCCTCCATGGTAAAACTGACTAGGTTTTTAAAATGCTTTCTACGAGTCCTCAGATCTCAACTTTGCTGAAAAACGTCCTGTATTGAGAGTCTCAAATATGTTCAGATCTATACACTGTCAAAACTAGGACTCTCAAAGATGTGAGTGAGGAAATTCCTTGTATTTATCCCACCTTGGCAGGTGAGGTATCACAGTCATAAGCTTTCTTTCCCTCCTTTTTACTGCATCCCACAGAATGGAAAGCATTGCCTTAGCCACTGAGAGGATCCAGTGTACTTCCACTTCTTTAGGTGCCAATCTTCACCAGAATTTTTGCACCTAACAACATAATAGCTTAAGTACACAGAACAATATATAAACCGTCAGCACCTCTTTGTAATTCAGTTTCAGAGATGCAGCTTCCAGCATCACTGCAGTGGCATTTATAGCAGAAACAGGCAATACATCTATTTGCAATGCATTTTCATTCTACAGGAATGTCACAAGCGACATTGAAAGTTTTACAAACAGGTGTAAATTGCAGTACATGTAGAAATTTTAAAGCTGCCATGCCAACTTGATTGTTGAGTGCACATATTTCTCTCATCACACTGATAATCGTAAAGTCAGAACTGGGCCAAACAAAAGAAGCCAGTAAGGATACAAGATCAGCCCTGCCCTCAGGCTTCAACTGTTTTATGTGGTTCCAACACCTTTAACATAGCACTTAGTTCTTTCAAAGCAGGGGTGGGGGGAGACCATGATTAATTTATGTTTTTCATTTGCCTCTGTGTGTGTGTGTGTGCTGACATAGCCTTTTCTGCCACAGGAGCGGCATTTGTTTGCATCCTTTTTAACTGCTGAAACTACAAAGCCTAAAGCAAACAGTCTAAACAGAAAGAAGGTGAAACAACAGATTAAAAAGTTGCTTGCATGCATATTACAGTAACACTTGTTAAAATAATCCTGGCACTTGACAAGAAACAAGTTTTACAGAAATGTTCTCTTAAACTGGGAACAAAAAAGTTACACTGATTAGAGGTATTGCTGGGGGCTAGGGGATGTGGAGTCTATCAGCTCAAGCATCCTTATCAAAAGGAATAAAGCAGGTGTTCCCCAGCCTTTTAGAAGAAAATAAAAGGGCCACACCAGTCACAGGAGATAAAAAATAAGGCCAAGGCCAAAGGTGCAAGATCAGGTAAAATTATATTACATTCTTCTGGTAAAATTCCCCCAAAATTCCGTATATGTTTTGCCAACAGGCTTCGTCAGGGGAATCTGTAATATATACATTTGATTTGATTAAAATCAAATATAGATTTGAGGGGTAGAGCCTGGGGAGGGCAGGGTTTGGGATGCTCAGGGACTTCAGCAGGGTATAATGCCATAGAGTCCGCTGCCCAAAGCAGCCATTGTAATAGCTGGGAAATTTTCTGTAGGGGAAATGATGTGTTGTTGCTGGGGAACACGGTGATTTCTGGGAGATCTCCAGGCCTCACAGGGAGATTGGCAACTCCAGTGACCGTTTAAGGGAAGATTTGGATATGTATTTTGGCAACTCCAGTGACTGTTTAAGGGAAAACTGGGATATGTATTTTACCTCAGGGCACATTCAATGACTCCCAACAGCAACAACAAACTGTTTAGAATGTTAGAGGCAAAGGCCAATCAGGCCACATATGCAAATGACCTCTGTGTTCTGACTGGCTACTGGGGGGAGAGGAACAACAAACTGTTTAGAATATTAGAGGCGAGACTCAGGCAACACAGCCAGTGGATAGGGACAGCTTCTGAGTGACAGATCAGGGAGCCAACTGATTTGGGAGCGTGTGGAATGTTCAGGAGAGCACCACAACCAAAACAGATTATATAGAGAGATTACACCACTGAGGTATTTTTAAGAACTACTGCAAGATGAACAGGTTTGTAATATTCATTTAGGCACAGAAAGAGATTCTTTTAATTTTGAGCCAAAACCTGTTGGGTGCTGGACAGCTTTACCTTATCTCTCTTCCTCTGGCAATCTCAAGGACAGCATGAGCTCTGGCAGTTTTGTATGTGACTGACATTTTACAATCTGGATTTTGACTTCTAATATAATGCCTTATTTATTTATATAATTTTAAATATACCACTATTTATGTAAACTCAGTGGCATAATTGTATATTTTATATTACGGATTCCTCCAATGAAGCCTGTTGGTGAAACACATAAAAATTTTTGGAAAATTTTAACTGAATAAAAAAATATAATTTTACCTGCTTTTGCAGCATTGGCCTTAGCCTTATTTTTTATTTCCCCCAACCCTTTTGAGCCTGCAGGCATCATTGGAATTCAAACCCAGGATGGTGGGCACAATCACAAAAGGACTACTATAGCAGGTGGAGGCAACCACAAAATGACTGCCACAGGAGACAATGCCAACCTCAAAATGTCAGGGAGATAGGTTATATATAAAACTCTAATAGCACCTCTCCAACACTTCAGGCAGAAATTCTGTTTAGCAAGATGCCTTTTAATCTGCACAGCCAATCAGAAGCCCTGCTGTGAAAAGCCCTACCTACTTTCTAAAAGCACTTGGCAGGCACCAGGAAATGTCTTGGCAGATACCATGGAGCCAAGGGCATCATGTTGGGGACCTTTGGAATAAAGGATGGCATGGTCCTGGCACTATATCTGTACCACAGCCTTACAAAAAAACCCTCTGCATTTAAAAGAAAGAGCAAATTTAAATACATCAGAGGAATGTGGTTGCCTTTTCCCCATACCCATCTACATTCAGTACTACTGGGAGAACAGAGCAAGCCACTCCTCCAAAACAAGGCCAGCTCCTAGATTATATAGCAAACATTGACAAACTGCTTAGTTAGTATGCAAGCCAGTCTCTGCTGAATATAGCATAGTGCCTGTTTTGCATCCATATTAACGGATCACCAGTATGCTGTTTCCGAAAGCCTGCTTTACCCATTACAGTAGGAAGATATAGTGAAGATCTGTGAATCTGTTCTTATGCTGTAATGTGAAAGGTGACTATTTACCTTCTCCCATCACATGCACACTGAAGACCTGCTTATATGTTAGTATTGTAACGGCTTGTATAATAAATTCAAATAACCCTGTATGCATTTATATACTCACCAAATGCCAGCCAAAACAAAGGGATAGGGTTTTTCCCCAGTGGCTGCCCCAGCTTCTTGGAAGAGGTCAGCGGGGTCCTACTCTCCTGGCTCTCCACTGAGGCTGTAAGACTGAGTTAGTCCACAGAGTTTTGGGAATAGCAAGAGTCTAGGCAACTGGGACTATCTGACTAGTGGGGGCACAAAGAGTTTGTATGTTTCTTGTTTTATCAAATTGTTTTTATATTATTACCACTTGCCGGTGATATTTGGGAGAAAGGCTGGCATATAAATATTTCAAGCAAACAGATATTGCCTCTACATCACACATGTGCTACATAGTTCATTTTCTATCCACACCCTTCTTGTGGACTCTGAAGAGCCCATGTTCTTCCACATTTATTGTAATTTAAAGCCAGACTCATTTCAAAAGTGCACTTTCAATAAAATAAAATAAAATATGCCTTTTATTTAAGAAATCCATGTTTTGTTTTTAAATACTGTCAATGCGCAAAGCTAGAGCAGGAGAGCTTTCGTTAAGATCTTTTCTTTTTTGAATGCTGTCATCTCGTTGCAGTCTTTAAGCTATGCTGAATCGATTAAAATGAACAAGCATCTGCCATTTACAAAGGAAAAACAACATTTGTAGATGCTGTTCAGAACAATTTTCATTAGCCACTTCACTCCACAGTTCAGCTCACTGGGAATAAGGACATGGCCAGCTGACATTCAACATTGCATATTTATAATGTGAGCTCAGATCCACAAGATGCTGTTAACAAAATACTTCTGCTGGTCTAAATCCTCTATAAATCTGAAACTCAAATTCAAGTATAAACAGCATAAAAAGTAACCCCAGCCCAAGTCTGTGTCCATGGGAGTTCTTGCAAAGTAACTTTACTCAGTATCCTGAAGCACTGTGGACACATGATCTTTGATAAAACACAGATGTTAATTACTTCCTAAGAATCTGGCCATGAAACACATGTTGAGGGCTGGCTCCTTAAGTATCTTGTCCTACCAACAAAGAGGAACAGGGCACTACTTTTCATTCCTGCGGTATGTATTTTCTTAAAATTGCCACTAACAAAAATGCTTAAATCCGACAGTGTTTCCAAGGACTGGAGGATTTCCACCTTTAGAGCATGGCTTTCTCCTCCTCCCACCAACACTGAAGCTCAAAATGCCCCCCAAATTGGAACCGGGGAGGCAAGGAAGTCACACTTCTTGGGCAGAAATACTCCCACAGGCTCCCACTCCAATACTGAAGAGGGTGGAAGAGTAAATTATGTTAAGAAGCACCATCTCCTGCTAATCCAAGCAATATATACACTTGCAAACCATGATTTACAATCTTCCCATTTCCATTTAGTCTCAATAACACCAGATTCCAGACTCTTTACATGATTAGGGATGAAAAGAACTGAATAACAACTTGGGAAAGACTCCTGTTCTGCAGTACAGCCAGACAGGTAGCTAGTTATCTCCAGCATCTATTCAGATAGGGGAGTCTGTCTCAGGCATCCAAGATATTTTAGGAATGATGATTACTCATATGACATCAAGCCTACTGAAGTCATAACAAGTTCAACAAGTGCCTCAACACCAAACTCGGCATGCTTGAAGGCTTTCAAAAGCCGCCATATGAAGGGATATCCTATGGGCAGATAAAATGCTATATCTAGAAGCATGTTGCCAATTACACTGATCACTCTTTTCATGGATCACCTTCATTAGACACAGACATTCAGTTGCTCACAAAATAATCTGGCCTAAGAACTCTGTTGCATTAATATTTAATGTCCTCAAGGAGAAAGACATTAAACAGCTCTCCATTTATCTTAAGTTATGTGAAATTATCTAAGAACAATATCCTTAAAGGGTAGCTCTCTGCTTCCATCAAACTGATTTCAATAGTGTTTAAGATGCCTTTTTCTGCTGCTCTGGGCACTTGTAAATTCAGTCCAGCTACCAGAAAGTGCACAGTATTGCACTGTTATCTGCACTAAAGTAGGGAAGGAAAATAAAAAGAATGTAACTGGAGAGCCACATAATAGGAAAGATTCCCAAGTTTTCCGTAGTTCAACATGACTACAGCACTACACAACTTTTACCATACCGCTAAATCCATTTGTATCATATCTGCTTAAATATCATGCAATCCTATTGCAGTTACTCCAATCTTAACCTATTGATTTCAATAGGCGAAGACTGGAGTAACTGCACAGAACTGTACTTTTAGATATTTCTTTTTAAAAGAGGAATATAGGGAGGATGGTAGGGGGGAACTTATGAAACTCAGTTGACAATTTTGCAAGATTTGCTTTTGGTACCAATGGGCAGTACTGCCATTTGTCAGTCTTGAGAGAGTTCAAAATGCTACGATTGTCAATTTTCCAGTCTTCCTTTCTCTTTAAAGTCCAAGTGACTTCTGAACAATTTGCTTGGCTATTTTGTTAAACTGCTCTCTATCCTCCCGCCACATTTTTGAGGCATCCACGTTGGCTCCACTCTCGTCATTTGGTTCTGAAATGGGGAAAAGAAAAGGAGATGGGACAAAGAAAAAGAAATGGGGAAAATCAGGCAGATCTCACACCTTCGAATTATATCTATATCAGTGCAAAAATAACGAAGAGTCTTATGGCACCAAATTTATTGTCACATAAGCATTACACACACACACACACAAGCATGCACACAAACACACACACAGATGTACAAAGAGAAGAAGTCTAGTGGAGGGGGTGAAGAAGAGATATTACAAAAAGCATGCATGAACAGCACTGCACTGCAGTACTAGAGAAGGATGGTAGGCTGTAACCAGGGGTAATTTCGTAGAAAAAGAGGTGCAGGAGCTCATTAGTGTAACTCATTAGCATAACTCATTAGCATATGCCACACCCCCTGACATCACCAGAAGTGTGTCAAAAGGCAACACCCACCGCTCAGGCTCCACTGGACTCTTTTGGATTGCTAGTTATTGGGGGGAGTACGTGCAGATCTGTCCTCACAGAGGATGGAGAGCTTGTACCTGAATAAAACTTGGTCTTAAAGGTGCCACTGGACGGTTTTGGGTTGCTATCTATGGGGGAGCTCTGCAACTTACCTGGCTGCTTCTTGCTCTGACTGAGGGCTGCTGGGAGAAGGGGATGGGGCTTGTTGCATGTGCCCGCCCCCCTGGGCTCTTTACTGCCAGAGCTCCGCTCCTGTGCGCTCCTGCAGGAAATGACCCCTGGCTGTAACTATCAGAACAGTTCTTCTAGCTGAAGATCTGCAAATAAATTTGTTCCATACCTGCCAGCATGCTGACCACTGACAAGAGAATCTTCTCTACACTCTGTACAGGGCTCCATCGTTCGGCACTGCTCTCATAGCCCATGGGATCATCTCCAGGGGCATGAAGAATAGAGATGCAAACTCTGCCATCTGGATAAACTGAAAAGAGGAACACATACTTTACAAGTGAAGCATCATCTTCTTTGTAAACTCAGGAGGGAATAGCTGAAGATTAAGCCTCCTGCCATACCTGCAAAAAAAACTCTCTAGACCAGGGGTCCCCAACCTTTCTGACCTTGTGGGCACCTTTGGAATTCTGATACAGTGTGATGGGTGCAGCTACAAAATGGCCACTGCAGGAGACAGAGCCAGCCACAAAATGGCTGCTGTAGCTTACTTTCTGTCACACAGTGAAGATCCTTGTGTGGTGGTGGCAATTGCTGCCAAAGCAACATTTTTAAAAAATCTGCATTAGTGCCAATCAAATCTCCAATGGCCAATCAGAAGTCTTGCTGGGCAAAAGCCCCACCTGATCCCACCCACTTTCTAAAAATACTTGGTGGGGATCAAGGTGCCCATGGGCACAAACTTGGGGACCCCTGCTTGAGGCCACCTCACTGTTAAAAGGTAGCTTGAATATCCTTAGGTAGCCACAAGATGTTCAAGCTTTAAAACCATTCTGATCATAGCCAAAAAGATGAGGCACCAAACGAATATGGAGATCAAGATAAAATATGAGTAATTGCTCAAATGTCTGAAAAATATCAGGCTTAGAGAGAGCCTACCTTCAAGAAAGCTGCTAATTAATATGATGTTGGAGAATAATGGGTCCAGAGACCTGGGCCATAAACTGATTCAACAAACTATGAACAAAAATCATTTGGGGAAGAATAACCTTCTAATATAAAATTATGGCTTAGACACAGCATGAACAGCAGAGTGCTCAAAGAACAAATGGTCTTGTTTCCTCTCTCCTGCTGTCAGCTGCAGAGCCCCCCAAAATAATAAATCCCTGAAAGCAGCATGGGAACAAAACGTGGCAAAGGGGACTTGGCAAAAATTGTCGCTTCTTTTCCACTGCAGATGAGCCTACAGTTAGGATCAAACTATGACAACAACAGCATATATCCTTGGCAGTTCTAGTAAACGAGCCATCATTGACTACTGAATCCCAAGTGGAACATGTCATTAGATATCAGTGATAAAACATCCATTTCTTAAATATCATAATCCAAAACACAAGATGGTACAATTCAAACAAGAGCATCTTTGTAAAAACAAAGTGCACACACACACACAGAAGACATCAACTACGGAAAAATATATGGTCTTGAATAAGGAGTTACTTTTTGTTCCTACCCAAGCAAGACTTTCTGAAAATGAGAGTAAAGATGACTAGATGTAGACAGATTTTTGAGACTGCACAAATATCACAAAACTACAATATTAGTCTGTAATAAGAGTTCTGTAACAAGGCATGGACTCCATTCATGTGTTTGGAAAGCTGGGGCAAGGGGAAGACAAAAGCCCCTGGATCAGTCTCAACAGGAATAAGATTATGACTCTGTGAATTTCACCCAATTTCTCCTCACCATAGCCCCCGTTATCTGGGAGCTTTTTGTCCACCGGTTTCTTGAGACCCCAGACAATATCTGCTTTCGGCCTACAAATAGCTGCAGTGAGAAGGGGAAGGTGAGAACAGATCTGCCTTTTGTGTGTGCAGTCATAGAACCCAACCCAACATTTTTGAAGAGTGCCTGCTATTAGTTTCTCATCTCATATTCCCCAAAGAAGGTCTTTATAGCTGAACCTACGACACATTTTTGTGGACATTATTTTGAAAAGGTGCACAGAGGATTTATAGAACCATTAAGACTTTGTTCAATAAATCTTCTGTGCACCTTTTCATCATGCATCAGGGTGTGGTGTGTTCATCCTTTTTTTAGTCTCCGAATGGGATGGAGGCAGATCATGCTGGAAATAAACATGGTAATGCTATTCTAACCTGTTACTGTGTAAAAGGTTTGGCTCACTTATTTTTTCCAGCACGGCGTAGCGGTTAGAGTGTCAGGTTGGGTCTGAATCCTCACTCTGCCATGGTAGCTTGCTGGGTGACACTGAGTCAGTCACACACTCTCAGCCTAACACAGTTCAACAGGGTGGTTGTAAGTATAAAACGGAGGACAGGAGAATGATGCCGGCTACTTGGGGGCCCCAATGGGAAGAAAGATGAAGTATAAAATGAAGTAAATAAAATTTACTCCCAATACTATTTTATCATCCAACCAGCCACCCTCCACCCAAATACAGCCCTTTTAAATGGGCCAGTGAAAGCTGCCAAGCACATTTTCCAGTTTTCCCTTCAGCTAATATCTGTGCAAGTTTACAACATGTTAAGTGCTATATATAGGCTGTTGCATTTACAACAGTTTCACAGCCCTAGGGTAGGGATTGGTTACTGACGTGGCTCAAGGGAAGAAAAGCAACATACTGATGGATCAGTAATACTCATCTGAGGGATGAAGGTAAATGGAGCAAAGAAAACAGAATCTTGCAAAATCGCAAAGCAATATAGCTTGCAAGCTTAGGAACAGAATGTGAAAGAAGATTACTACCATACTATTCTTTCTCAAGATGCTACATCAGTATACCATTCAGACAAAAAGGCAGACAAAAATATAGCTTCTGGCAAATTACATTGGTGAAACCAGTGGAACAATATCAGAAACAAAAAGGAGGGTTTTTTAATAGGATTTCAATCAAGTTATCAGAATTCTTAAATCAGAACTAAATGTTCCAAAATTCCCAGTCTTCTGTACCAAAGGACATGTGAAGCTAGAGCACCCTCTAGCACTGATGAACTGCCAAACAAAATTGAGGATAGATCAAGTTACAGCACTGTTGGGAAAATATTTGCAAATATATTCCCCCCCCCCTTTTTTTTGCTTGAAAACGCAGAAAAGAGTAGCTCCACACAAACCGGCCAAGACAGACAAAAATATGGAAGATCTATGACTGTTCTCTAGTGTGTTACTCCTTCATTGGAAGTTCTGGGACTACATTGTGGGGTTAACTCTTTCCTCTACACTTTTCCACTGTAGGTGAAGCACACAGATTGTCTATATTATCTCAGTATATTTCCCCCCATGCATTTAACATCGGGGGTAGGTTGCTGGAAGTCAGGAAAATGATACAATTGGGAAGAACCTTCCCTCCCAAACACCCACTGTGGCTACAATTCAAATCAGGGCTTCCCATGCTGTTAGTTACAAAGAGAAAATGCACTGCATCTTCCCAAGTCTTGTTTGGCTATTCAAAGTATGCATTATAGTATAAAAGTATTCAAAGTGTCTGAAATAGAATTTAGAGCTCCGTCTAGGCAACTGCTACTAGTTAAAACATTCAAACAAGTATTCAAAGGGTCCTTTAATTTTCCACTGTGAGAATGCCACAATGGTAAATAGGATATGTCATCTGTATGATCAGACAAGGTGTTACCTATCTGAAGAACTTACTGTTGGGGTGAAACATCTCACACGTGAACCTCATCTTTGGAGGGCTTAATGGGTAGTCAAGAGGAAAACTCAAAATAGCAGGGAAAACGCCATACTCAAAGCAAGTGTCTTCTGGTCCCCTATAAAACAAAATGAAAAATTAAACAGTTTAAAAACAGTGCCAGCATATTAGTTACTAAAAATGAAATCAAGAAAATAGTACTAGATTGCAGAAGACTGCCATTAAATGCACTTTAATGAAGTCTATGTTGCCTACTAAAACACAGTTTTGGATATAAGCTATTATGGCATATAATTCTTCTATGAAGAATGTCTTCTATGAAGACTATACTGAAAAACTTATTTCGGGTAGTTAATCACTCTTTCATAATCAATGAGATGACCAGAATAGTCTCCTACCTATAATACAATGGGTTGTACCCTATGAACTGTGAGAAGGTATCCATAGTGTCAGAATTCTCTTTTCCTTCCCCTTTCCCAGTAGCCCCCTAAAACCATTGAAAAGGCAATACTGGGGGTCCAGATAACCTCATAGACAAGAGGCATGGGGAGGGTCTGCAGTAAGAAGAGGGAGGCTGAGTGAGATCATGCCCACTTCCTCCCTTCTATGCATGCAGGTTTTCCACTGGTGCAAAGGGGAGGAGAGACTTCACCCAATTCTGCCTCCTCACTGCAGCTCACCATGCCTCACAACATTTTGCCTATGATGATCCTGAACTTTTGAGGCGAAAATTTTGCTCAATAATGATCCTGCTTTGAGCCAAGTGGAAAAGGCAGCTAAAAATATTCTAATAAATAGATGAGTAGCAGGTGTGGGTGGGAAAACTCCACTTACTGTGAGCACATTCCATTTGTGGTTCACAGGATACCATCCAAGAAAGTCAATATCAATACCAGTCTGCCTAAGTTTAAGCATTTGGAGAGGTCAATGAAGATTCACCCTCTTTCTTCTGCATCTCTATCCAAGGGAAGGCACCACAGAGCAAAAGTGCAATGTAATTTCTAAATAAAACTAGCCAAGGACTTCTCAGCAAAATGCCTCCATTGGTTTACATAGTGATGTGATTCTAGGCAATGGCTGTGACACCATGTTGTACCATAGCTCAACAGAAGCTGGCGTGCTTTTCATACAGCATGAACCTGTCATTTCCTTCTCCAACTCACCAGGAAGAAATTTACTTATGTCAGATGACTCATTGCTGACCATTTATTTTCACTGGCCTCATCTAGTAAAGATCTTGGAGAAGCTGGACATATTGATAATAAGCTACAGGTACTGTTAATCAAAGACCTTGCTTTGCATGTATAGTCCACTCCTAGATAGTCAACAGTGACATCCAGAAACCAAAGCTAAAGCAAGAAAGACCTATGGTTCTCCCAAGCATGACATATTCTACTGCTGTGGCTATTACCTTTGTTTTTTCTCCTGAAGCTACATTACTCTCCCTAAACATACTGTAATCACTGTTCAGTTCTTCAATGCATTTAGGGTCATAATGGACTTGAAAAGGATATAAAAAACCCAGTTTTTCCGTAACCTTACCCACGTCCCCCAACAAAGCAGGTACAAATGTTGTAACTGGTTCTGCATTTACACCATCTAATTTAATTAAATATGCAACCCATTTCAGACTTCATCTAAATACATCTATAAGCTGCACACTGGAAGCTTTCCCACAGTGCTCTGTAACATCATTCTGCCCCTCCCCTTTGAATAACTAACCTTAGGGGAACTCAAAAATTCACTTATTACTGTAACCTTCTGGTCAGTTTAACACTTTCAGATTTCTTTCCTAATAGCTCAACAAGTATATATGTAATCTCCTAAATCAAAGGATCCACTATTCTATTAAAACCCCTCTTCTTTGAAACAACATTTAAATCTCTACAAGCTAGAACAGCTGCAAAAGGGGGCAACCATTTGGAAATCCCATCCCGCCCCTCAAAAATACTCTTTCCAGAGGACCGTCTTGGCTTTCAAAAGCTAGAGCAGGGGGACTGGTCTTCTCATTCAGTTGCCCTCAACTGACACTCAGCTGCTCTCAACATTCCATCCCTTCTGGAATATGTTTAAGTCCTCATTAGGCTGTTTCCTTAGGAGGGTTAGGAAATAGTTGTACACATACTTAAACTTAGGCATCTGGAACCAAAGACATATTTTGCAAGCGGTCTTCTTTTTCGCTCTCTCTCTTATTTTAAACTGGATACCTAAAAGACAGTTCACACAAATCTGGCCACTTATTACATAAGAACATAAGAGAAGCAAATGTTGGATCAGGCCAATGGCCCATCCAGTCCAACACTCTGTCACACAGTGGCCAAAAATACCAGGTGCCATCAGGAGGTCCAGCAGTGGGGCCAGTACACTAGAAGCCCCCTACTGTTGCCCCCCCAGCACCAAGAATACAGAGATCACTTGCTTCCTACCTATACCTTGTGGCTAATAGCCACTGTGGACCTTTGCTCCATATGTTTACCCAATTCCCACTTGAAGCTGTCCATGTTTGTAGTCGCCACCACCTGCTGTCGCAGTGAATTCCATGTGTTAATCACTCTTTGGGTGAAGAAGTATTTCATTTTATCCATTCTAACCCAACTGCTCAGCAATTTCATGGAGTGCCCACAAGTTCTTCTATTGTGAGGGAGAAAAGTACTTCTTTCTCTACCTGCTCTATCCCATACATAATTTTGTAAAGCTCAATCATGTCACCCCTTAGTCGTTGTTTCTCCAAGCTAAAGAGCCCCAAGCACTTTAACCTTTCTTCATAGGGAAAGTGTTCCAACCCTTTTATCATTCTAGTTGCCCTTTTCCAATGCTATAATATCCTTTTTGAGGTGTGGTGACCAGAACTGCACACAGTATTCCAAATGAGGTCACACCATCGATTTATACAGGGGCATTATGATACTGGCTGATTTGTTTTCAGTTCCCTTCCTAATAATCCCCAGCACAGCATTGGCCTTTTTCACTGCAGTCGCACACTGTCTCGACATTTTCATTGAGTTATCTACTACGACTCCAAGATCTCTCTCTTGGTCAGTCTCTGCCAGTTCGGATCCCATCAATGTGTTTTTATAGTTAGGATTTTTGGCCCCAATGTGCATCACTTTGCACTTGGCCACACTGAACCCCATTTGCCACGCTGATGCCCACTCACCCATCCTCAACAGATCCCTTTGGAGTGCCTCACAATGCTCCCTGGTTTTCACCACCCTGAACAATTTTGTGTCATCCGCAAGTTTAGCCACTTCACTGATTACTCCCGACTCCAAATCATTAATGAACAAATTAAAAAGCATCGGACCGAGTACTGATCTCTGTGGTACCCCACTGCTTACCACCCTCCACTGAGAAAATTGCCCATTTATACTCACTCTCTGCTTCCTATTAATTAGCCAGTTTTTGATCCACAAGAGGACTTTTCCTTTTATCCCATGACTATTGAGCTTACTTAGGAGCCTTTGATGAGGAACTTTATCAAAAGCTTTCTGGAAGCCAAGGTAAACAACATCTATTGGGTCCCCCTTGTCCACATGTTTGTTCACTTCCTCAAAGAACACTAACAGGTTAGTGAGACAAGATCTTCCCTTACAGAACCATGCTGAGTCTGCCTCAATACTTGTTGTTCATCAATGTGCCTACTAATTCTTTCCTCAATAACAGTTTCCACCAACTTACCTGGTATCAACATCAGACTGACTGGCCTGTAATTTCCCAGCTCTCCTCTGGAACCCTTTTTAAAGATGGGAGTGACATTAGCTACCTTCCAGTCCTCAGGAATGGTGGAAGATTTTAATGAAAGATTACATATTTTTGTCAGGAGATCCACAAGTTCGCATTTGAGTTCTTTCAGAACTCTCGGATGTATGCCATCTGGACCTGGTGATTTATCAGATTTTAAGTTGTCTATGAGTCGTAGAACCTCCTCTCTCGTCACCTAAATCTGACTTAGGTCTTTCAACACCCCTCCCCAAATCAGCAGTTCTGGAGTGGGCAAGCACTTCTCATCTTCCACAGTGAAGACAGAGGCAAAAAATGCATTCAGCTTCTCAGCCATTTCCCTATCATCCTTCAGTACTCCTTTTACCCCCTGGTCATCCAAGGGCCCCACTGCCTCCCTGGCTGGTTTCCTGCTTCTAATGTATTTGAAGAAAGTTTTATTGTTGGTCTTTATGTTTTTTGTGATATGCTCCTCATATTCCCTTGTTGCCTGCCTGATCACAGACTTGTATTTTATTTGCCACAGCCAGTGTTCCTTTTTTATCAACCTCACTGAGACTAGCTTTCCACTGCTTAAAGGAATCCTCCTTACCTTTTACAGCTTCCATTACTTTTTGCGTTAACCATGCAGGCCTTTTTCTATACCTATTTGTGCCTTTCCTAACCTGTGGTGTATATTTTTATGAGCTTCTAGGATTGTAGTTTTAAATAATCTCCAAGCTTCCCCAATGGTTTTGACCCTTTCTACTTTTTTTTTCAGTTTCCTCCTCACATGTCCCCTCATTTCAGAGAAGTTACCCCCTTTAAAATTAAAAGTGGTTGTGTTGATGTTTTTGGGCAACTCCCTATTTATACAAATGTTGAACTCAGTAGCATTATGGTCACTGTTCCCAAGCAGTGCAATCACTTTTACATCTCTCACCAGGTCTTGGGCATTACTTAGGACCAGATCCAGAATCGCCTCTCCCCTGGTAGGTTCTGTGACCATCTGTTCCATAGCACAGTCATTAAGAGTGTCTAGAAACTCAATCTCTTTTTCCCGACTTGAACACATATTGGCCCAATCAATGCGAGGATAGTTAAAATCACCTATTACAACACAGTTATTTCATCTCGCCGCTATCTTTAATTCATTCATCATTTTATAATCCTCCTCCATCTTTTGATCTGGTGGCCGATAAACTCCCAGTGTTAAGCTTCCTTTTGGGCCCACTATTTCAACCCATAGCATTTCCAGAAGTGAGTGCAATTCTCTTACCCTCTCAATCTTACTGGACTGTATACCCTCTCTGACATACAGAGCCACCCCCCCTCCAACCCCCCCTCCTTCTGATATAATTTATAGCCAGGAATCACTGTATCCCACAGATTTTCCTCATCCCACCAAGTTTCTGAAAT